TAATTGCTGCGTGTTACACACTTAATCGTGTCCCATCTAAATTGGTCGACAAAACTCCATACGAGCTATGGAGAGGAAAAAGATCAAACTTATCTCACATGAAAGTTTGGGACTGTGACACTTATGTGAAGCAAAATGAATCGGATAAGCTTGAGGCTAAATCTCATAAATGCATATTTGTGGGATATCCAAAAGAGACAATTGGATATCAGTTTTATAATCCCGTTGAGAAGAATGTATTCATTTCAAGACATGCCATATTCCTAGAGAAAGAGTTTATTCTAGGAGAGGGTAGTGGAAGCAAGATAGAACTTGAAGAAGTTCAAAAATCTATAGATACTATTGACTAATTAGATGAATCTGAGTCTGATCCTACACCTGTTGACGGACAGACTCTTGATCAGGATATAGAGAACCTCGAGGACACTCCAGCTCAGCGTAGATCAAGTTGGATCATTCGACCTTCCAGAAGGTACGAACTCACGATTACTAATCAAGTATTATTAGTTGAGGATGATGAACCTACAAATTACGCAGAAGCGAAGTCAAATGTTGACTCGAAGAGATGGCAAGAGGCCATGGAATCAGAAATGAACTCGATGTATGAGAATAAGGTTTAGACCTTGATCGACCTTCCAGGTGCGATAAAACCGATAGGTTGTAAATGAGTTTATAAGAAAAAGGTCGATGTGGATAGAAACGTCCATACATACAAAGCAAGGCGAGTAGCGAAATGTTACAGACAAAGACAAGGCACTGACTTTGATGAAATCTTTTCGCCTGTAGCCATGCTAAAGTCCATTCGGATTTTGCTTACAATAGCTGCATACCATGATTATGAGATATGACAAATGAATGTCAAAACTGCTTTCCTTAATGGAAACTTACAAGAGGAGGTGTACATGACACAGCCAGAAGGTTTTGAATCCAAAGAAGCCAACATGTATGTAAGCTTAATTGATCTATTTATGGATTAAAGCAAGCCTTAAGGAGTTGGAATCTTCGTTTTCATAAGACAATCAAAAGGTTTGATTTCATCAAAAATGAAGATGAACTGTGTGTCTACAAGAAGACAGTCGTATTCCTAATATTATATGTCGATGACATATTATTAATAAGAAATGACGTCCCAATGCTTCAGTCGGTAAAATTATTATTGTCAAAGAATTTCTCCATGAAAGATATGAGAGAAGTAGCGTATATCTTGAGAATTAAGATCTATAGAGATAAATCTAAAAGATTGCTTGGCTTATCCCAATCTTCGAACGTAGACAAAATCTTGAGAATATTTAAAATGGAAGAGTCCAAGAGTGGTTTGTGTCCTATGTCACATAGGATTTACCTCTCAAAAGATATGTGTCCTAAAACACATGATGAAAGAAATCGCATGGATAAGATTCCCTATACTTCGGCGATAGGATCTATCATGTATGCGATGCTATGTACGAGACCAGATGTTTCATATGCTTTAAGTGTTACAAGCAGGATTCAAGCAAACCCTGGTGAAAAATACTGGATAGCGGTTAAGAACATCCTTAAGTACTTGAGAAGGACTAAAGAAGTGTTCTTGATCTATGGAGGGGATGAACTAAATGTTCATGAGTATACTGATGCTAGCTTTCAATCTGATAAGGATGATAGCAATTCTTAATCTGGATATATGTTTACTCTCAACAATGGAGTGGTTAGTTGGAAAAGTTCCAAACAGGAGACAACCGTTGATTCAACAACAGAAGCCGAGTACATTGCTGCTTTTGAAGCAGCAAATGAAGCTGTCTGGATTAAGAAGTTCGTTAATGAACTGGGAGTCGTTCCTAACATTGTTGATCCCATACCTTTGTATTGTGATAACAATGGAGCCATCGCACAAGCGAAAGAACCAAGGTCTCATCAACGATCCAAACATATGCTAAGGCGATATCATCTTATCAGAGAGATTATACAAATGAATGACGTAAAGATAGAGCGAGTTCCCACAAATGACAATATTGCAGATCCATTGACAAAGCCATTGTCACAACAGAAATATGACCGTCATGTGGACGCTTATGGTATTAGACACATGAGTGATTGGATCTAGTGCAAGTGGGAGTTTGTAAGTGTTATGTCCTAAATCCAATCGATTTAGGTTGTAAACACTTTTAATAGTAAGAGATTGTGATCTGCATTTCATTCAATTAAGTCGATAACGAAACCCTTGACCAAGGTATACTCATAAGTCGAAAAGGAATTTTAGACTCATATTGACTTAATGGTAGAACGAAAGATATGATCAGTAATCGAGATTGACACACTTCCATATCTCGTAATTGATCGGATCATATTGGCGAAGAGATTATAGTTTCATGGTAAACGAACAAATTTGATTTTGTCATACCACGTGATATTTCCCGTCACATGTGTTGCCCTAATACATTGCTAGATGTCAATTTGGGACGACGAGTGTGAATTGGTAATAAATTAAAAGGGTGTTTTAATTTATCAGTTTTTGATTAGATCAAAATAATATTTCACGTCGTTAGGTATCGTGATCAGGAACCTGATGGGTCGCACACAAAAGAGAATTGGAAGATTGCAATTTGTCAATTAATTAGTTTAACAATCGTTGGATAAATTAATTAATTGAATTGGTTATTTATAGTCCCGAATTAATTGGATTAATTAATTCACAAACCAAATTTAATTAAATAGATTAATTAAATATTGGACCGGACCAGGCCGAGCCCGAGCCTGTTTGGACTTATATAAATACATGACTAGGGTTTTAAATCTATTCAGTTTTCATAATTTTTGTTAGCATAAGAGGAGAAACCCTAGCAGTTGCAATCTATTCTTTGTGTGGAATTCATTGGATGTTGGACAATTGAACAGCTGTGGGAGGCACATCCAAGTTGTTGGAACAAAGATAACGCAAAGAAGTTTGCAAATTCAAGAAAAAGGTATAACTTTTATCACAGTTTCTATCTAAATACAAAGATAAATCCTGGTGGAAATTGAAATTATTTTTATTTTCACAGTGCATGTTTAAGTAAATTCCCGACATTAAGTAGCTTCGAGACTTGGTAGATGAATTGCGCTAAATGTTAAGTAACTTTCTGAAAGTAATCACACGGGAAACCTGGTAAAATCTATCATTTAGCATCGTAATTCATAAGAGATAGTCAAACATAACTTAGGCAGCATTTTTGAATGGGAATAAACTAATGATAAGACGAGGCATCGTCAGAATCCTCACATAGTTGATTGTTACATATAGAAAATCTTTTATTTGTATTGCTGCACCGTCAAATTGCCATCTTCTCCCATTTAACTGGGGGCCAACAGGCAAATCAGCAAAAGTTGTTAACAGGTGTAAATAATTTCTGCACAAGTAACTTAAGAGTATATTAGATAGGGTGGAAATGAAATTGAAAGATGGAATTAGATTTTTCAACTTTAGGTGTTTGATACATTTTTTTCCATGGAATTCGAATTCTTGGTTGTCTTGAAGTTTGGATTTTTCTTGGTTTTCCTACCTACTGTAGCATTTTTTTATTATTATTATTTTTTTGGTTGGCAATAGAAACAAATTCTAAGAATTATTGTAAAAAAAAATATTTCCCTTTAAATGACAATTTTCATGTAAAACAAAGTCAAACGAATATTGAAAATAGATGATTTTCTTGAAATTTTTGTTTTTTTTTTTTTGTGTTGGCAATAGAAACAAATTTAATTCTCAATACCAGTAAAATCTATCATTTTAATTGACAATTTTCATGTAAAACAAAATCAGATAAACACCAAAAAACACTTTTATTTCAACATTTTTCACGTGAAAAATTATACAAATCAAACACAATAATTTACAATTCTCAGGAAAATAATTATAGGCAATTCAATTCCTTGAAATTTGTTTTCTAGACAATTCAATTTCATCTTTACAATTAAACGGACCCTAATTATTTTTCTGTAAGGGAGCCATTGGTTCAATCTGTAATAATGGAATCAAACTAGATCCAAATCATTCCATTTTTGTTTGATTTGATACCAGTTCCCTAACCAAAATTTTCAAATTATAAATGCCAATTAAATTATAATTTATTCATTTAAAATTTTAAAGTTCATCCATCATAAACGTAATAGAATAAAATAAATGGCGTTAGCCCTTCAAGACGTAAGTTAAGTTGAATTTTTTGTGGTGTTATTAAAAAAAAAAAAAAAAAGGCTCCAAAGAGAGAGAAAAATTCCCTAACCAAAATTTTCAAATTATAAATGCCAATTAAATTATAATTTATTCATTTAAAATTTTAAAGTTCATCCATCATAAACGTAATAGAATAAAATAAATGGCGTTAGCCCTTCAAGACGTAAGTTAAGTTGAATTTTTTGTGGTGTTATTAAAAAAAAAAAAAAAAGGCTCCACAGAGAGAGAAAAAATTAAGGTTCGATTCTGGAACCAAAAAGACGTGAATTGAGAAAAGCAGAGACACCAACAAAATTCAGTATTGAATTAATTGCCAAATAAGACTCCGATGCACAGAGCCGTCAACACAATCGATTTTCTCTCAACTGATCTTGTATTGAAAAGATTTAGGCCGTGTTCAATATTATTTCAGGATCCCCAAAACTGGTGAAAATAAAAGGGCAGAAAGTGGTGATGAATATTATAAATGCTGTTCTCCATGTTATAAGGAGACTCATTTTTATCGAAAGTTAGCCAAACAGCGTACGGTTATTTGAACAGAGAGCTGGTCGGCGAAGGCTAAAAATACCAGGCAGCTGTTTTCTATAAGCACTGCGCCTGAAGAATTGATCATTTGCTACGGGTAGGTCTACTGTCGTAGAGACAAAAGGGGGGAAGCTAACAAACATCATGCCAAGTTTATCCACTAAAGGCTGCGCTGCCACATTTTTATGTAGTTACATCAATGAACACTGCCCTGGAGAAATTGTCAATGGTCAAGTAAATCATAAAGCAGAGTATATATACCAGGCACGAGGGATAGTGAAAGATGCTCGAATAAGCATAAAGCGACGCCAGATGAGAGTACGAAGTCGGAAAAAGGTACACTATAATGGTAAAAGATTCCACAAATTTATTCACCATTTAAGACCCACATTTATATTTAGAATTCAAAGGGTACATGAAAATCAGCTTAAAAAACTCATGCTTTATGATATCGCTCACTTGATGACTTCCCTGAGAGGCAGTTGCAAAGAAAATAGACTCCGCTGAAGCTGCAGTCACATGGCAAAACAGATAGTTCAGTAGAAAGTGGACTTTTAGCAACTTCACAAAAGCATTGTATCTGGAAAACATTTTATTACAGTTATGCAGGGCCAATTGACCATCACGGATATTGACATACCACATGCCATATCACATAATTGTCTTACGTTTATCATGTATTGAACTGTAATATAAATACATTTTCATGGAAGTGCAAATTGTGAATGAACATGATTTGCATGCACCAAGCATTTCAATACTTTCAACCAAACCTAGCATTTCAACAACATGCAAAATTTTCTCCGTCACAACTTTTGTTCACTGGATTCTGATCTGTAGGTCTCTGCAATTCTTGAGAAGGAAGAAGGTGTTCCTCGAGGGAGGTCAATGAAATTGGCTCATATAATTAAAGATTTGAGTAATGGATCACAGGTATCCTGACAGCACAGGTCTCTCTGCTAGCAAACTAAGAAAGGATGCTCCAGTACTACCAACTCCTTTATTCTTAAAGTGCATGAAATGCAAAAGCCTCATCAAAACCCAATTCAACATGCAAATAAGTAAAAGAAAAATAGCAAATGTTACTTTTTGCAACTTAACATTTGACCTTAATGGTGATTAAATGCCATATTCAGAGGAAATTCAAGATAACTAAACATCATGGATAAAGCCTTCACTATATCAATTCAAGATTGAACACAAGCATACAAAAATTTCTTTTCCTAAAATGAGTATCATCTAATTATGGGATAGGATAAACACACAAATTTCCCAATGTTACCATTCATATCCATGAAATACAAGCAAAATTCTCAGAAATTCACCCCTTACAAACTGATGGCATGGAAAACCATAAGGCTACATGTGGTAAACCGGATTAGGCCATATAAAAAATTTAGGCCACGTTTGGTAGCCATTTTTTCAAAATGCATTTTCCTCTCAGTTCTTTTCAACCACACATTCTTTATTAAAAATAATATTACACGTAAATTAAAAACTTTTCCTTATTTTTCAACCACACATTTCATATCAATTTACTATTCTAAAATACATTTTTACATAAAAATGCACATCAAACACCCTCTTAGTAGAAAATGATAAGGGACATTAGATGATATTATGGAGGTGGAGACTGTTCTTTAATTTTTCATTTTAAAAATAGTCTTTTGCACCATCAACTGTAAAACATAAAACGAAGTTGAAGAAAAATTTAAGCCTGTGTTAACAAGTGACATTCTTCTAAATGAAAATTCAAAGAGTATTATCCACTGTAATACCCTCTGCTTAGTAATATTCATTATAATTTATATCAAAATTTTATCCGGTCTAATCCAGACATACTGTGCACCAAACGTGACCAAGAGGATAATTCCCAGCTAAAATCACCCTTCTCCACACAAAATGGTATTAATTTCAAGCCACGTAATGAATGAAAGCATTTTTCGTTCTTTAACATATCAACATAATAAATGATACAACAAACATCTGGGCACCAATACAAACGTGGAACAGACTATCCCAATTACGCAATATAAAATCCAAATTCACAAGACCCGATCTCATATGGCACGATGAATAAAAAAAAAAAAAAAAAAAAAGGAATCTTTCCTGCGTCATATGATATCAATTATAAAATCAACGAAAAAAAATCAGAAAATCAACGAAAAAAAATCGAGATAATAGTAAGTTTTCACAGCACCTAAAAAATACACCAAGTCAATGGCCACCGTGTTCCTTGGCGTGCTGCTGGTGTTCAAGGTGGCGACGCTCCTCGGGGAGAGCAACGAGGTAAGAGAAAATCATCCCGCCAAAGCAGACATGATAAAGCGGGTCGACCGAACTGGTCTGAATGTACTTCGCATGGTAATTATCCAGACCCCGCTTCACGGAATTTTTCAAGTAATCAATCGACAGCATAGGCTTGACGTGTGCCGGCAATTCCTTCACCTTCAAACCCTTTACCTGGTTGTAGAAATTCTTCACCGAAGCCATTAGAGAAGAAATTGAAATGAGTTCTGGAATCCCCCTCTCGCCCGTATATCTCTATGAGCCCTAGAAACAGTTGGGGATTTGGTCATTGGCACGCTATGATACAAAAAAAATTTACACGGCGGGTGCCCAAACTATTACTTGAGTGGGAAACTAGTTTCACAACCTAAAAGGGACCGAGTTGATCTATCAAAATCAATTCCCGCCCAGCCAAGAAAATCGTCCGAATTTTCATTGCAATTACATAATCAATTCCCCATCTATTAATAGGCTTATAATATAGCAGGCATCATACTTTATGGGTTAATTTTGAAAGAAACTTTTATCTTAATGTATTAATGGTACAATAATAAGGGAATGTTTCTATCTCGGGTTAATTTAACAAACGGTCATTGAACTTACCTAAAAATCTCAAAACGATCATTGAAGTTTAAAACTTGTAGAGGCGATACTGAACTTACGGGGCGCTTTCACTAACGATCACTGAAGGACCTTTATGATACTAATTTAAACTTAAAGGATCAAAACACTTGAAAATAAAAACCTTGAGGACCAAATCGCTCTAACCAAAAATTGCCAAATTCCTCCTACTTACACACTATTCGCCGGTGCCAAAAATTAGCAAATTTGACCACCATACCGTCGGAATTACTATCGAATTTCACCACCAACACCTCCTCATCCCCCTCCACAATCATATGTCAACAATTAACCAAAACACATCAAAAATTAAATGAAAATCAAGTTCAAAAAATCAACCCACGCACGATTTTACCGCTGAATTCTAGCCAACCCATCATCACCCATGCCAAAACTCTAGCACAGGCTGTTAGTTCTCCCCAAGACAAACAGGTACATGGTCCATACCATCACAAAACAATTTAAATCAGGATATAACTCATACCAGTTCTCCGACAGCGAAGAACGTACTTTTCGCCCCAATTTTCGGCGCCGACGTCAATAATTACAATTGCGCACCACCACCATTACCTTCTGCTCATCATGGCGAACAAGATGCACTTATTCGAATTGGCCGAAATTGGAGGTAATATCGTGCGTGGGGGTGGTTTTTTTAACCCGAATTTCATTTGATTTTTTATGTGCTTTGGTTAATTGTTGGTCTAGAATTGTAGAGGGGGATGAAGAGGTGTTGTTAGTGCAAAAATCCGGTAGTAATTCCAGCGGCATGATGGTTGAATTTGGCAATTTTCGACGTCCGCGAATATGGTGTAAGTCGGAGAGAAAATGCTTGATTTCTAAATTTCAGGGGTAGATTTTGACCAAATGAAATTAGATGGAATTTACACTTGGGGTTCTCAAGGATTCAATTCATGTGTTTTGGTCCTTCAATGACCGTTAGTGAAAGTGCCCCGTAAGTTCAGTGACCGTATCTGCAGTTTTTAAACTTCAGTGATCGATTTGAGATTTTTAGGTAAGTTCAGTGACCGCTTGTGAAATTAACCCTTGCATCTCTTGTTTTGCTATAAGAGATATCTAGAAAAATTACTTTAGTTAGTGTGTGAAAATTAATTTTTAAAAGATCATTCTCTTTCGAAATAGCTTTTAAACGAAATAACATTAGGTCATTTTCCTCAATAAGCTTTTATATTTAGAGGAAACACTTTTACATAATTAATTAACTGGATCTAAAAACATTTGAGTCTCAAAATCTTATTGAATTTCTCAGAAATTATGTCAAATGGATTATAAAACTTGCAATATCTCCCTATGGATGATGGGACATGGGAGATGAGTCTCTACGAAATCACTGAGCTAATGAGAAAGATTAATGGGAAATTTTATTTATTTTTATTAGAGGTTGATTGTAATAAATACTCGAGGCTAGCTTGGGAGTTTCTGGGGTTGATTTTGGATGATTATTAGTGACGATTCTTAAAATAGTCAAATTCAGAATTGGTAATTTATTATTCAACGATTTTGTAATTTTTTTAAATAATAAAATTATATATATGCCCGTATATAAAAAAATATATAAATTTGTGTATATAATACGAAGTAAATATGTATGTCACTCCTTGTAATTCAGCATGGTTCTACATACGTTTAACCAATTATTTACATGGTGTATGATTAACTTTAGGTATAATCATTGTTGCTTTGGATAAGTTTTTGCATGCAATCATTTCCATTGGATTATTTGAAGCATTTGGATATAAAATTTTATTTAAAAAGATATTTTATTTATTTATTTATTTGGTCCAAACTTCATTTATTTTTATAATAGTTCTGAGAAAATTTGTCTAAGAGATGGAAACGTTGGAAAAATATTTGAAAAACAACAAAACAAATCGATTTGCTGAGTTGAAAATACAACTCAAATTAGACTATGCCCTTATTTTGTATGAATTAAAATATGATTTTTATAAAAATTGATTAAATGTACAGTTCAAAAGTTGTGAGTCCCATAAATATATTTGGTTGAAATTAATTATTAACTTTGATTTATATTAAAAAATCGATTTTAATCCTCATCAAACATGGGCTGTATTGGTTTTGAGACGATTTTTAAGCGCCTGTCTAGTAGAAATCCTTATTTTAATTTGTAGAGAAATTGTGATCGTTACTTTGTAGTTTGACAGACATTTATAGCAAGAAATCAAAGATGACAATCGTAATGTTGGACCAATTTAGGGTAGAATGGTCATTTTGCCATAAACAGTTAAATCAATGTTAGGAAGTGCTATATGTATATAATTTTCTACATAATGATGTCCATAATTGCACGTGGCATTGGATCCAATTTTTAATTCAAATCTCACGTTTGCACATCAACAATTGTGATGATTATCACATCACATTATGGACACCATTATGTGCAATAATTATGTACAAGTGAAATTTTCCATCAATGTTTATGATGAATATGCAATTTAGGTATTTTACTGATAAATCTTCAAACATTGCTGTCAACATGGGTCCTATATGCCCGTAGATAACGATAAGATAATTGCTCAAAATCATAAAAAAAGCACTACTAGTCAGCCCCTCAACCATTCAGATTTAGTACGCAAAAAACTAAAAAAAATGCTAATTTTCTCAGAGTCACACAGATAGCACCATCAAAAAAAGTCAAAACCGGTGACAATTTTTCGATAAGCGAGAACACCGGTCAACTTTCAACGTTAATTAATCTGGTTCTGAGTCTACAACAATAATGCAATATAAGCACACTCTCTGGATGGCAGTTACCAAATAACGAGGATTACTCCAAGTAGAATACTTTTTAAAGTCATTCGGCTAAAAATATAAGGTATGTGGTGGATATTGATTTTGAAAATATTAGTCACTAAATCAAGTTTTAATTTACGTAAAGGTAGTATGATTGCGATATTTGCCCAGCAAAGTATACCTAGGGCTTATTCGATAACGATTATAAGAATTGATTTTTCTAACCGTTTGAATGAAAAGTGTGTCCCACATGTGAGTGAAAAAATCAAAAATAACGACTGAAATAATAAAATAAATGTCAAAAAATTGATTTTTTGAGGTTAAAAAATGTTACCAAACGAGGGCATAGTGTACAGTACTTAGTTCGAAATTTCTATTCGTCTGGAATATGAGTTAGGTTAGGGTTCATACGCCGTCAGATTTAATTTGCGGCTGAAGTTTAGGACACAAATGAAAAAAGAAAATGTTATTTAGGTTTTTGAAATTTGTCTCTGCAGGGCGATTTCATCTAGGTGACAAATTTATTAACGTCATGTTCGTCATGGTAGATTTTAAAGTTACTACATCGACACTTTACCTTGATATTGTTAACATAATGACAAAATGTGTAAGCGCTTTAAACTTCAATGATCATTATTACAAGGAAGTAACTAATGATTTTGAAAGTTTAGGGACAATTGCTCAAATTAACCCAATTGCATGTGAGGTGAATTTTAGTGACTCTCAATAAAAAGAGATGTTATTGTTTGAGCTCCATTTCTCAAAAACTCATTTTTAATTATATATTCTTCCGTTAAAATAATTTTATACATAACTTAAAAAAAATTTCGCTTTTAAATCAAACATTTTTTAGAAAAATACTGTTCCAAAATCTATTTATTCAAAATAATAGGACTCAAATGGCTAAGATACAATTTTGAGTAAATAACATCATTTTACAACTTTTCTACTAGTTTCAGAGTCCACATCAGCCCTAACTCTATACGGCTATACCGCCTCCGCCGCTCCTCAAGCTCAAACACAAATTATGCACACGCCACCTTTTATCCCTCTATATAAGCGGTTCCTCTGCTTCATGAATACCCATTAACCTAACATGGCACGGCTTTTTTCTCAAACCCTAATAAGAGCCGCCGCCGCCCCCTTCTTCCCCACCCTCTCCTCACATTTGTCCGCCACAGGTAAACCTAAACTCATCCACCGCCATCTGTTTAGCCTGGCGGATAGCAACTCTTATATAGAGCTTTCGCAGGTGGAGGCGGAGGCCAGCGTAGTGAAGAAGATAGAGGAGGCTATACACACCATCATAATCAAGAGATCTAGACCCGACTGGTTACCGTTTGTGCCCGGAGCTTCCTACTGGGTCCCACCGCGTCGGCACTCATACGGCGTTGCCGAAATTGTCCACCAACTATCCAACCCCCTCACGGAGGAGCAGCTTAATTCGCTCATCACCTTCCAGGGATGGCCTTCGTCTGCTTTCTACCTTAGTCACGGTATACATAGGATTTATTTAAAATATTTACATATTAATGAATCATCAATCATATAACTTCAGTTTTGATGGAGCTTTTCGTTCTAATGCATCGCCTCTTCCGTTTATTTCGTTTTCTTATTTTATGCAACTCGTGTGCTATATGTGTGTATAAATCCAAGGCATATGATGTACTTTTCAGAGTTGAGTACTCAGATTTATTTGGTACGATGATTCTCACCTGAATAGGAAGATCTGATGCCTTCAAAGATCATATCTTCTGAACCGGTAATCTTTCTTTGTCTCAGATTTTCTTTGATTTTTCCCTTTTTTTACTTGTTTCTCTGAGCTTATCTAGGGCATTCGAGGAGGACAAAGTACGTTATACAGTTGTGACAAATTACATTTCCCCTTTTACAATTGTAATCCTCGTGTAATATCTATGCATTTTCATTTATCCATATTGATATATTAACTTTGATTTTTGGGTTATTTATGAAGCCGATGATGACTAATTGTATCTACCTGAAATGCATCATTGCAAAAGTGTAGATAATACATTGAACTAGGACGGTCTGAGGCTTTCACCGTTTCTCCCCGAGACCTAAATCAAAAGTTTAAACATTTACTTACTCAATTGGACCTCGTTTATTTTCCCTTTTATCTCAAGTTTTTGTGGGGTCTAAATCACATGTCGCAATATGATTGTCCTTAGTGACTGAACATATAACCTTTTTTTTCTTTTGTCCTCCTAGATCATCTAGTCTGCAGTGTTTATGAATGATGAGAACAAATATTTACAGTTATCCCTGTCTGATAATTTCTGCTGAAAGATTCTAATCTGACTAAAACACTGCAGATATCTATTCTTTGATGGGATCAAGTGATATCCCGGATTCTTTTAGAAGTTCAGAATATGATTTTTCTATTTTTGCACTTGGCTTATTGATAAGCACTTGTGTGTTGGTTCCTATTTGTTTAATGATTTTATTGACCTTAATTAGGTTAAGTTCCAGTTTTTGTCTTTTGTAGAGTTGTATGCACATGCTGGTCTGGTACTTCTCTTTCTTGAACGTTCTATGTATTCAGTTTTAGGCTATGTTTTAGTACCAACAGTGGTTTGAATGACAAAACAAAAATTCACAGTTATCCCTGTCTGATGTATTTCTGTAGAAACAATTGTGATCTGACCTATACACTGTTGAACTCAGTGGTTTTCCATGTTGAACCCTAATGTGGCAATCAAATTCTTGCAAAATTTCTTGTTGCTTAATAAGTTCTGTTGCAAGTGCTGCTCTATATAATTCTAATATTGTCATAGCTGGTGGGGGAAATTTTACCTAGTTTGGACCAACCTGTACAGGAACAGTCGCAAAGTAGGTGTGAAGATGCCTGTCTTGTGATTGGTTACATTCTAATTGATCACAAGCAGAGTTAAACTTCACTTGCCTTTTGAGTGATTTGTTTGGATGGATCTGGTGTGATATAGATTAATTTTATCATCCTAGTGCTTGTCACGGTTTCACCCTTTCATTCATCCTAGTAGTTCATCAGCCTCGTTACAGGTTGCACCTATCTTTTCAATTTTCTCATGTCCCACATTGATTGCAGATGGCTCTTCTCATTTGGCTGAGGGGGGAGACAGTATCCTCATCAAAGAGGAAGGTTGATATGATGTGTATGATTAGAAAATATGAAATACATGACTGACCAGCGAGATGCCCGAGGTGGGTATAAAATTTGTATTCATGTCATGTGTGCGCTAGATTGCGTTTGGTGGTGTTATTATGTTATGGACCATTATTAAATGGTGGTATGGGTGATGTTTTGTGGTACGCAGTGTAGGATGGACTAGACGACACTTCATATAATTAAAGACGAGAAGATGATAAAATCTAGACTCAGCGATCTTACAGAGATAAAATTCCTTACTTTGATGGTATTCTACTAAGAAGAGTATGGAGTCTTTCGGCTTCTTATTTTTTTTCTCTAATGATCTGCTGACATGAATTTTGCAGACCCGCTGTTACGTGTACATTAAATAACTGAGGATGAGATGTTCCATCAGATGGTGTTTCATTGGCAAATATGTATATAATCAACTTGGTTACTGCTGTAGAAAGTCATCTTAGTACTGCAGTTGCTGGCCTCAGACCTCTTGTATATTTGAACATACTTTCAACTAGAGTTTTGAAAAGGGTAAAGCGTGACTCTACGGCAAGGAGGCTTAGACGAGCCTTTTAGAACAATGCTTTTAATAGTAAAACAACAATACGTACTAAAAATAGTTGTCACATTTTACCCATTTTTGTTTTATTTATGTTCTTATTTTAATATAGACTCTTTTTTGCTTTGGATTTTGAGTTGTCTGGTTTATAATTTTTTGTATCTCATTTGTATCTTTACTGAAGACAAGAAAATAATATTTAGCGTATAAAATTCAATAATGATTTAATTGTGGAATTTACTGCTGGATTTGAACTTTCTATATTGTGTTTATGGCTCACGAACCTGTGAAAGCGAGATAATTCGGTTTAAAATTTATTTGAATATGTGAATTGCGGGGTTCCAACTTTCTTTATTGTGTGTTTATGGTTCTCGAACCTGTGAAAGTGGGATAATTGGGTTTTAAATATTTTTGAATATGTAAACTGGGGTGCCGTATGATGAAAGTTGTCAATTTTTTATGTCCAAATTGCACAGTGCTTAATAGCATATCATGCTTGGGGTGTGCTTATACTTCATTAAGAGTTGTGGGTCTTGGGGCATGCTTACGAGTGCTTATGCTTAATTATGAGTTGGAGATTTTGAAAAATGTGTAGATAATAAGCCCCTATCTGGGAGCAATTTTTACTGAATTTTAATCAAAAAGGGAAAAAGCCTCCTGTCCCGGCTTGGGGACAGGGTTGAAGACAGCCAGGGGCAGGCGCCCCTCCAATAGGGGGCGCCATGTGATGCCCCTGTCCCCAAGTCGGGACAGGGGACTTTTGCCATGGTCCCATATAGTCTGATATGAATTGACTTCCTCTTTTCAAATAGTGCACACTGTGTTATTACTTTACCCCTTTCACCCACACTCTTAGCCTTAGGCAGTGGTAGACCCACAGTGTGTTATTACTTTACCCCTTTCACCCACACTCTTAGCCTGAGGCAGTGGTAGACCCACAGTGAATTCTTGTGGGTCACGTGACCCACCAACTTTTAAAATTGGTTTTCTTATTATTATTATTTTTAAATAAAAAATTAGATTTCTCCTGCTCCAACCCTTGTTGCAGATTGCAAATCCATTCTATTGAAGTAGAAGAAGAACCCATTTCGACTTTAAAATCAAAACCCTTCCATTCCCTTCCCGTCCCTTTCCTTGGAAATTTGAAGCAATAAAAGCAAAAGGTAGCTTAGTTTACAAAGCTCTTTGCAATCTTAATTTTTGGAATCATTTTCATTTGGGTATACAGGGCAACTTCTATTGCAGGATTTATGGACGTTGGAAAACTCGGATGGATTGGAACGTTTGGTGCCGATATGTGATCCAGCCTTTACTATATGCTGCCCCCGTTTGGCCCCCATCGGTTGGAATAATGTTTTTTCAAAACATGTAGTTGAAAAAGAATGAAAGGTTTTTGATTTGCATGTAATATTATTGTATGGAAGATTGTAATATATTTTAAATGTGGTTGAAAAAGAATGAATTTTTTTTTGATTTGCATATAATATTATTTTCGAAAGGTTGTGTGATTGAAAATAAGAGAGAAAAAGGATAAGGAGGAGAATGGAGCGAAACGGGGTTCTTCGTTGGAACCATGTTTATCACTAGAGCTTCAAATACTGGCTCGCTGATGGGTTTTTCCTCTTCTTCCAATGTTTTATTTGTTTGATTGTATAGGGACAACACTACCACAATGAAATTAAGGCATGTTTGGCTAAACTTTCAGGTAGCCCTTTTGTCGTCTTATTTTGGCTCACTTATTGACTAAACTAGTCAAGAAGCATCTGCATAAAAGCTTAGCAACACATGCTTAAATCTGCTAGTCCCATTTTTAATCTTTCGCTGGTTAGTTTCAGTGATCGTGGTGGTAGCATTTTGATAGACCCTCACATTCAATCATTTGCTATTCTAGAATATTCCTTAGTTGGTTAGCAAAAGGGTAAAAATGTCATAGAAAGTTGGTATAGTCTCTATAAATATAATAAGGGGGGAGCCGTGATATTCATCCGGGAAAATAGTGGGAAAATTGGGAGAGTCCAGGCCTTTCGAATGCCTTGGAAATTGTCATTTTATTTCTGTTGAATATCAATATAACATTAAGTTTTTCATTGATTTGCTTCAAGAGTCAGGTTTCTATCATTTTCGTCCAAGTTTGATTGTGCCCTTAATTAAAAATATATGTGTCCGCCAATGCTCTTCGGTTTGGGCATTTTAATCAATACCGAACTGGAAGGGGAGGTTTTGGTACGGTTCCTGAAAAAATTAATTAGGAACTTGAACTTGGAACCAATAATCAACTAGGTCCGGATTGATTTTTGGTTCCTGAACTAGAATTGTGGTACCCGAATGGTATCGATTTTTATGTAGTTTTTTATTACAATCTATAGGTTGGATGAAAAAAATAATACCTAAAAATTCTAATTTGGGTTGTAATTAGTCTAAAACTCTAAATTCTAATCCTAAAAAATAAAGATTGGCCCTAACTTTTTAACATCTCGACTCATATGAGATTGTTGCAATTCAAAGGTTATTACATGTTAATATTTACTATTTGGGATTTTTATAAATAAAAAATATCGAGCAAGTTATGGTCTTAGTTGATGAATCAAAGCATTTGTTCTTTACAATTCAAGCTTTTTGCTTTCTTGTATTGTTTATAAACTTAGGTGATTTTTTAAAACTTTTTCATAATGCATGGAATTTGAATCTGATATATTCATTGTTTGCGCTCTATTGTACCTTTTTTATTATTTTGAGTTTGTGGTTCTCTTTTATATATATATTGTTCAAACATAACAAGTTCAATATATGAATCATAATTTTTTGATATTATATATTATGTATTTAATTAGTGTTTTTTTTTATCAGCTCGTTTTAAGAGTAAAAGAATTAAAGCATTGTTGATAATAAAATTATATGATCTAGTAGGCCTCGCTTTATGGATTGAATAATGTTTATCAAGAAAAATAATTTTTTCTCATATTATAATTTAATTTTTTGATTTATTTATGTTCCCCTATTTTCGTGGTTACTACTATCCAATATCTCGCTTCTTGAATATTGTTTAACTAAATTTTTCCCTTGCACAAATATTTTCGAGTAGTAGCGTATTATGTATATGTACAAAAGGTTTATGTGAAATATTCATTAAATAAATGTATATAAAAATGTTATGGGAAGAACAGAAATCGAACTGGAACCGACAGTTCAAATTTGGATTTGATTTTAGTATTTACAAAGACTCAAATAGTTCCAATTGAGAAATACTCAAAGTATAATGGATGGTTTCGAGTATTAAAATATTTGGATCGATGCCCAAGGCTACACATTCTACATTATAGATGAAAATGGCATTTTGATAATATCTTTATACAATCTTAACATAAGTGACAGTTGCCTAACACTATGGCTCCGTTTGATTGCTATTTTTGTAAGAATGAGAATGAAAAATATAATTGTTGGAGGACTTATACAAGAGATAAAAAGTCAAATATGATGGTCTGATGTGATGGATAAAAATCATATTTTTCATTTTTGTGGTCAAAGAATGATAATCAAACGGAAACATTGAATCTTTTGAAATGGGGTAAAAAAAGATGTGGTCATTTAAAATTATAATCCCTGTTTGGAAGAAATCTAGGATTTAATTTAAGTCAATGTTAATAATTAATTTTAACCATCCATATTTTATGAAGCAACAACTTTTTAACTAAACATTTCATCAATTTTTACTAAAATTACTAAAAAATTGATTTTTCATCCCAACTGAATAGGGGCATAATAATAATTTTGCCAACATGCGCTTACTGTTGATGGTTTTGATCAATATTATGATAGTTATAAACTATTGTGTAGATTCAAAACTTCACTTTTGGAGATTAGAAACTCGTAACCACATCACTAGAAGGGTCGGGGGAGCTCAAACCTAATTTACTTGGAATACTGTAGGCTGGTCCCCGAAGATTGGTCATCAATTTAGTATAAAATCGTCTAAGATCAATAATATTGGAACAAGTAGTACCACGTTTCGATGGATTAAAATTCAATTTGAACTCTAGGGCTCAGCTTGATATTTATTTCTCGCATCGTGAAAGAATTTTGTTTTCGGGATCATAAAATTTACAAAGTACATTTTGATATGAAAGCCCCTATTTCATTTTTAGTTAAAAATCAGATTTTTAATAAATTTTTTGATAAAAATGATAAATGTAGTTGAAAAGTTAAAATTATTTATTTATTTATACTTATATTTTAATCAACTTGTTAGTTGAATCGAATGGGGGCAAAGTGTGTTTACATTTTGACTAATGTTAATGTATTCACATCACATTTTTGTAGGTTATACCATCTTAATTATTTGTGTCCTTAAATTATTTCAGATATATTTCTAGCATCAATTTTTCATTAATTAATACGCGTAGTCTTTCATAATAGTTTTTGTCTAAAATTTTTATCGAGAGTGTTAAGATTTGAGGTCCATCTTAATAAGGTCAACTTTATTAAGAGGAGTGGTCCAAAATCTATTTAAGTTGGTCAATATTTCGATATTTAAACGATGTGAGATTTATTCCTTTAACATGCCCCGCAAGATGGCGGCTCTGTTTGAGCAGACAAATTTTGAAATTCGTGTGCTCATTTTTTAGACTTAATCGAATCAAATAGTTTATTGGAGCTTACTAGCTGATACCATGTTAAAATTTGAAATCCATCTATATTTTCATATTTAATTGTTGTAGAATGTATTCCCTTAACAGAGGGGAAAAGATTCATTAGCCATCATAATTTTTGGAAAAAAGAAGAAGCAAAAGTACAATACAACGCGAATGAAATTGTACTGTACTTAGTGAGAATTATAATACTTTACTGATTATTTATTAATTGTCGTGAGTCTTCACTTACTAGAGACCAATATTAAATTATAAGGACCTCTTAACACAATTTCGCGTTTCCTAAAAGGCATCGACAGTTATTTATCAAGTTTTCGTGAAACGCTTATGTCATAAACTGAACTATCCGTCGAATCTGCCCAAAATCCTCGTACGGTGGAATTAAAGAACCACGAGGAGTTAACAATAACGCGGAGGCGCGTGTGAATACTGAATTATTGTGATGGCGGCCGTGGATGGAGCAGCTACAGGAGTCCAAGACCAACAACAGCAGCCGCCAGCAAGGGCCGTCGAGAGGCTGAATACGGCCGTCCAACAGCAGCTCAATCTTGAGTCAGTCAGGACTCGAGCCAATAGCCTTTACAAAGCAATTTCTCGCATCCTCGAAGAATTTGACGCAATTTCACGCGCCAACGCCGTCCCCAAATGGTATTTCGCAATAATTCCCCAATAATAGAGGAAGAATTCAAGAAATTAGTATCGGAACAAATTAGAAAACCTAGTTATCAAAAAGTTTGAATTTATCTGATTTTATGTGAATAAAATATTGATTTCTTGGGTTTTGTATATGTACTGAAACAGGCAAGATGTTGTATCGCAATTTTCTATGGTGAATTTGGAGCTGTTCAACATTGTCGAGGACATTAAGAATGTTTCCAAGTCTTTTGTTGTGCATCCTCGGAATGTCAATGCCGAGAATGCAACAAGTATGTTTCTTTAATGTTCTTTCTATTAATTTAGTTCTGCGGAATGTAATTCGTCTACTGTTTACAGTAATTCACTGGAATTTATTCGGGGCTGGCCTTGAGAATTTTGGGGTCCCGAGCTACTAATTATTATGAGTCCTTAAAGATATTTATTTATTTATTATTTATTATTTTTTTGCATTCGTAGTGATACTTGAACGAAAAAACTTTTTCAGTTTTATTTATTTCCATAGGGAATTTCATTAACTGGAGACCAAGAATTGAATCAAATATGGAAGTTAATTTACAGCTCGGGACAAAGCTTTTTTTATTTGTGTATTTCTTCAATTTTAATTGAGGAAGTGGAAGAAACATACATAAACAACAGTAGTGCCAACAAAAGAGTGCTGAATTTCTTATCTTTTCATCATAGAGAAAGAGAACAAACAATTCTAACTGCTTAATGAACTCAGAACCATAAGTATAATAAAACACAACACCACTATGTTCTTTATTTACACCTATGCATAAATGAGAGATCTAAGAACAATAGTAATTAACTTAAAATCTATGTCACTCAAAAAGAGAAACGCTAGGATGGAATTCTATTGGGCCCCCAAAATGTTGAGGCCCAAGGCCTTTGCCTAGGAGGCCTTATGCCAAGGCCGGTTCTAGATTTTATCCTATCAAAGCCTGCGAATGAACTCCGAAATGTCTTTAGACATAAGAAAAGATACTTTTCTTTCTTGGAATTTAACTCAAAAAAGTGACATGTACTGTTGATCATATATTAGTAAGTTGTGGATTTTCAACTTTCATCAGTAAAAAAGATATTTATTCAAAATTTTCTCATTTTAAAGTTTGGCCAGTTTCTGTATGTTCTTCATTGTATATTAATGGAATTGGAATTCTTTCTATACAGTTCTACCTGTTATGTTGTCATCTAAACTTTTGCCCGAGATGGAAATAGACGACAACACCAAGAGGGAACAGTTGTTACAGAGCATGCAGAACATGCCAGTTTCGGCACAAATTGAAAAGCTAAAAGTGTGTAAACTATTCATGCAGAAAATTGACCTTGCATCCATGAACTAAGCCCTTAAGTATGTTCCCATTTCGAATGTTCTCAGGCTAGAATTGATATGATTGGAGCAGCCTGTGAAAGTGCAGAGAAAATGATAGCCGATACTCGTAAAGCCTACTTTGGCACTCGACAGGGGCCGACAATTCTTCCAACTATTGACAAGGTTCAAGCAGCAAAAATACAAGAACAAGAAAATTTGCTTCGGAGTGCTGTAAATCATGGTGAAGGTGATACTTTTATTCAACTTTCCTCGCACTGTACTCTTGTCGAGAAAGTATTTCTTTTGTGAGGCATTTTAGCCTTAATAATTATTGTTACTTGTGCAGGGTTAAGAATATCTGGAGACCAAAGGCAGATAACATCTACACTTCCAGTGCATTTGGTAGACGTCTTTGCTGCCAGTGATGGTCCCCAGAATTATTCGGATGCATCTGGTATGACTTACAGTCTCCGCTTTGATGCTTTTTTTTTTTCCTCCTGAATTCTGGTCACAAGTGACTCCATAGATAATAATATGTTACTCAACGTTAGGAATGTATCTGAAGAATACACCTCCGCTTTCGTCAACCAGCAATAACAGCCAGGGTAACGTGCTACAGGTATATTTTTCAAGCTTACCATGTCAATTTAAATTTGAAAAAAGAATTTGAAGTTCTGTTATGCGCTTGTATAATACATCTAATACAGCCATGTCGTCCCTTAATTGCCATTATTTAAGCAATTGTGATGCCCATGTTTTAATTTGATTTATATTTGTTGTTCTATCTTTCTTTTAAAATAAGACAAAGTACTTATTACATTAGTATCAAAATAAGTAACTTGCTTATTTCCAACTTTGAGCTTTGACAAACATGCTTATTGTTTTGTGTGTTGATCCATGGTGTTTATGATAGGCTTCTGGAGCACAACTTCTCGGGAGATCAGCAGCTTCCCCATCTGGTGCTACGGTTAATACTTCGTTTGACAACACAACAGCATCACCTCTGCAATATGCCAATTCGCCGAGATCCAGTGCAAACATGATGAACACGCCGTCTCCTCAGCAACAGTCACTCCAGCAACTGCAGCGGCAGAAAATAATGCAAGCACCTCAGCATCAACAGCTCCTGGCCCAACAGCAGTTTAGGCAATCTTCAATGAACATGGGACAGGTATTTTGAACTTATTTGTAATGTTCCGAGGTTACAATCACATCTCATTTAAACTTTTGTCTTAGTGCTGTGTACATTCTCATTGATACTGATGTCTCTGGACATTAAATTTCGTAATTATCTGCAACTTATAGAAGCAAGAACTGCTCTCTGCTATACCCAGACACTCTAGGAATTCAAAATTTTATGTTTCCGTTCAATTAGAATAGAGTGCTCTCTTGTATCAGATGCTGGCACAGGACCTCCACCCACATCCTCACACCCAAGACAAGAACTTTTGGCCACCTTGAAAGAATCCTTGCCAGTGAATGTCATATGGAATTGTTTTCATTGTGTTCTGCTCTTTTAGTATAATCTTTACCTAGTCTTCCATCGTACAACCTAATTATCATACGCTATTTTTTCTGCAGAGCCAACTGGCACAGATGCATGATATGCAGGGCCAGGGACAACAAAAGTTTCAGCAGGTAATATCACATGTAAACCTTCTAAAGCTAATCTTACTCAACTTCGTAAATATTGTGTGGTGAAAAATTGAGACATTTATCAAGAGGCAAAAATTGTGATAATTTGGTGCATGCAAGCTATGTCTTGGGCTCAATAATGCGAGTGAAAGAATGTTCTTGAGAGACTAGAATCTCTATAACCATTTGAAAAGTGAGAAATCAGGCTTCTTTGTGCTTGTCATAACTTTTAAAAAATTTACTGCTGATATTGATTAAAATATAGTGAAATCGTACATAAACCTGTTGGTTAAAATACAATTTTTTATATATAAATTATTCTTATTTATCAAATAAGTAATGCTCATTTAGTTTAGGTTTTGACTTTTTTGTTGGTGAAATCTTTTGAATTTGAGGAATGTTAATTGGTTGTATTAAGAAAATTTGTGTTGTACTTTGTTTACTAGTACCAGGGAAATTTAAAAAAAAAAAAAAATGCATATAGAAAATATGAAATGAACTTTGTACAAAATTTTAGACATTATTTTGTCTTTTTCACCCATATATTCTAATTATTGAAGTTTTACGTTCCGAACTTGTAATGTGAACTGCTGAGTCTGTGTAGTTCTGAACTTCAACCTGTGAGTTAAGATTTAAAATTACCTAAAAATTAGGGCACAACGTGGTCCATCAAATATGTGTTTTGAGGCATGTCAGGACTCGGTTCATGTCCCTCACATGCCGATTATATCACTTTTGTTGCTGTTCTTGTGAATACTAAACAAATTCTATTACTTGTTTTATCAAAAAAAAAAAAAAAAATGCTTCCTAAATAGATGCATGGCCAGCAACATATGCAGTTCTCTCAGCCATTGGCAGCCCAACAACTTCAGGCTAGGCAGCTTGCGTCAGGAGCAATGCACATGAATCAAAACCAAATGACCCAAGGAAACCAGCTGAGTCGTCAATTAAACCAGTTCTCTAGCCCTGCAAATAATGCAATGTTTATTTCTGCCCAAACTACACCGTCTCAGACAGTAAGATACCTTTTGCCTTCCCTTTCCATTGATTGTCTATTTTGCATTAAAACTTTTTCATTCACAGGTAATACTTGAAATATGATATTTATTTAAGGAAAGTTGAACCATTAATCCCCCAACATACTATCCAAGTAGCAAGTTGGTTCTCAACCATCTGTTGTAGTTTACTCAACAATGAATTCCATCTAATTTTCCAAACCAATATGTGACCCTCGTAGGTCCAACTTATTTTTTAAATCCATTTTTAAAAGTATTTTTACCTCTGTTGAAATGAGTAACTTATTTTCAATTTTGTTTTTTCACTCATCATCTAATAGCAAAACCCTTAATCACAAGTTTTCAGCACACTTTAAGAGCTCTGCTTCAAAATGGTTCTTGTCTTAACACATTCTCTAATTGTCTAATATATTTCGACCTATCAACACTTGACCTCCTCATGTTCATTTGGTTTAGTGTCAAAGTGTCTAATTGCTTCCTTCTCGGAAAATTCCCAGATGTGTAATAATTATTTTGGTACCAGACTTGATTTGAGAGAACATTATTTGGACTCTCGTATGTCATTTATATTCACATTTAAGCAGATAACAGAAGTTTATTATATTCCAATTTTATGGTCCACTGGGAAACACCACCGATGCCCAGAAAGCCCTCACCCTTCTTATTGCCTAAAGACGTGTGGATTTGTATTTTTATGCTAGTGTCTATTAATAGTTATATGTTAAAGGTGGGTTTTAAATTATTTAAGATTCTCAAAGGCCTTCTTTTTTCTAGTTTATCTCTGACGCCCGTATTGAAACTTGTATTCCATATCGTACTTATTCTTCATTGAGAAAATCATCCTAATTATTATTATTTTAATTCCAGATTTCAAATGTGTCAGCTATGATGTCATCACAATCACTCTTTCCGAGAAATCAGGTTAGCTTTCAAATTTCAACTGTTGCCTAGTGATGCATATGAATCATAAAACGCCATGATAATAATAATAAAAAGAAAAAGGGCATGAAGTTATGTAATATCATCAACTGTGTGGATGAAACCTGAAGGCTTTTTAAGCCTAAAACAAACACACTTAGCATGTCTTGTAAAGAGGAATATGTGGTACTTGACAATGCTGAAAATGAAAATACTTTCGAGTCCAGTCTTAAATTCTCAAGTATTTAAAATCCATAAATACTTGCACAATCACGCTTTTGTTAATCATCTTGAAATCTTCTTTTTAGTTACTTGTTTGTTTTTTTGGTGATTAATTAACTATCTTGCTGTTTGAAATGCTTCACCTGATTAGAATGTTACATGTTTGAAACTCAGTACAATTGTTATCTGGCGTTCTCTTTTGACAGAATCTATATTGTTAATCACTCGTGATTATATCTTTTGCTTTCAGTTTGGAATGTCTGGTGGCAATCGGAATCTTCCTTCCCAAAATCTTAGCGATCAAAGTATGAATTATTTTCTTCTTTTTTCAGTTTTGTCACATACTTTTAGTTTTGTTCAAATGCATCAATTAGTTACATTATTGACAAAAAGAAATATGTAGATAAGCATACGAAATTTCACCTCATGCATGTTTGGCCAAGCTTAAAAATTTGGCCGAGTAAACAAACTTGTTTCAAAATAAATATCCATTTTATTGATCAAAGTCAGAAATTAAATTTTTGACAGCAAGACAAGAGTTACTTTCAAAAGAAGCAACTTTTTGACTTACAATTAAGAAAAAAAGAAACAAAAAGTTACTTAAAAGATTATTTTTACTTTTTATTTTTTAAGCTTAGCCATACCTGCTCTAAAGTAAGTTAATTTTGTTGGCAATAAATAAGAGTTACTCTTAAAATAACTTTTTTTAATAACTAAAAACTATAATGTAGTAGTCTAAACATTTTAGAAACAAAGTAACATTTACTTATTTTTAACCGTTGCCAAACACACTAGTGTAAATTCATTTCCAATTTGGCTAACTTTGAGCTCCCTTTCAGTGTTTAACATGGGAGCAGCCAATTCCGGTGGCATGATGCCCATCCAGCAGCAGCAGCAGCAGCAGCATAACTCACAAGGTGCATTCGGAAACATGCAGCAAAGTGGACAGAATCTACAACCTAACATGGTACAGATGCAAAACACGGCACAGAATCTTCCCAACTTTCAGCAGTCGAGGCCACAAAACCAGCAATAACGCACTGAACACCGAACTTGAGCGTTCGTTATCTATGTCTGAACTCAGTATGGTCGGGAAATAAGGTTATGATTTTTTTTTCTTTCTATATCAATGGTTTCCAATTGTCTTCATGTTGGAGGCATAAATTATACAATATGTTGGTAGGAAGGAATAGGCAAGTATTGGGAAGAATAAATGTAGAAAAGGAAGTTTATAATCTTATTCATTATATGGTTGAGTTCAGTGTGCCGCCTACCAAAATTGCACTTGCAACTTGAAAACCGTTTAGGATTTTGAGTTCAAATTTATTTCTTCGCATTCCATTTTTCAATGTTCTACAATTCTAGTGTTTGTAATGCAGTACATTATGGCATGTATCCGATGTTATCCAACAATGTATTGTTACAATTTTTCATTAATAGAATCGCCGAGTTTTCCTCAACTTTAGCTGAAACTCTTGTGCTTCTTTAAGACTAGCTATGCAGTACTAAACAACAGTAAAGAAGAAAAAGATGCCAATATCGTGTTTATTCCATCTAGTCACGTCGAGTACTGCATGCCAAACATTTTGTTAATGGATTTGGTGGGATAGAATCTTTTACTATCGGCTTCTTGACGATGAATTGGAAATTCTAACGAGGCTGCCACCATTGAGTATTTCTTGATTTTTGTTATGCTCGTATTTATGGTCTTTGATTGATGAAATAACGAGGCGCAACTTTTTAAAAGCAACCCCTGCAACCTGCATTTGACAAAATGCAACAAACCATAACACTGCAGAGCGAACAAAGGCTTCACAATTTCATAACTTAGTTGTGGTAACTACCTCGAATTCTTGGTCAAAGGCCTTTTGTAAATTTCCAATCACAATAGGTGAGAAACACTATTTCTTGATGTGAAAAATTCACGAATTGGGATTTCTAGGGTAAGAATCTACAATCCACTAGAATGCCCCTTTCATTTTGTTCGATTCAGTATCACTCAAATTCATGCAATGCTATTGAAGGGGCAGCAAAAATCTCTATCCGAATAGGTAGGAATTTCTTTAATGATTTGACATCATGAGTGTTAGGTATCCATTCGCGAGAATAAAGAACTAAAAAAAAAAAGGGAAGACGGGAATGAAATGCATGTAAAATGCTATCTACTATATGCAGAATTTTCAGTTTAGTGTGTTTGGTGAAATTTTGATGAAACCTACGAGTCCAAATGTATTGATAAAAATGATGTTTGATTGACTTACCAGCTTGAAAAAGCTTTACCAAACATAAATTTCATTTTGGCATCATATATATCATCTCTCAAAAAAAGAAAGGGCCATGAAGTACAAGTTTGGTAATCCTGCTGGCTGCTGTTTGAGGGAAAAGAATGCAAACGAAAATGATATTGCATGTGGATATAGAACTTACAGGTCTCCAAGACAGGAGCTTTTGGAATCCTTCTCATCAGTGTCTCTTTGATCCAATGAAAGAGCTGAGGGTGCTTCTGCTGGACTAAATAAATTCTCACTCAAACGAGGCGGTGAAAAGGGTGGGGATGGGAAAGAGGATGATGATAAGTAATTGTGCGACCCGGTCCTACACTAACCAGCAAAGGCGGTGATGGTGTTGAAGGCGACAATGGTGGAGATTTGGATCCATTTTGCACATCATGCATCTGTTTGCGCGCACACAGATACGTGTAGCCTTTTGCTGTTTTGGAGGATTTGCATTAAACGTTTCTTGAGCTCTACTTATTGCTCCTAAACAGTTTCTTACAGAAGATTGCGGTTGTCTGAGACGATGATAGTTAATAGGATGTTTTGCTAAGAAAACCTTTAGGTTATTTTGAAACCTAGGTATGACCAAACAGTCACACATCTAACCATTAAGCTTCAAAGAACATTTTTACTCTGAAAAAACCAACTTCCCATTCATCAACTCAATGAGAGACAATCAATTTGAGATAAATATCATAATTTTGTTAGTTAGGCAGTGGGTATGAGTTAAAAACATTCCCAAATCAAGATATCAAAAGATGTTCTCATAAATAATCACACTCAAGAGAGTTGCCAACAACATTATGGTGTTACTCATTCACAACTTGCTATTATTCAAGTGTATAATTTTACACACTCATTTTTGCATATTGTGAACCCGGCCTCGGCCTATTAGAGTTGAAAGCTCCTTTTTAGCTTCTTCGAGTGTTTCAACAGAACGCCCAACTTCGAACGAAATCCTCTGTACATTATACTGCAAGCACGAGAGAAGTTAGATACCCGGAAAAAAAAAAAAAAAAAAAAAAAAGTTGAAAGAATGAGGAAACCGATGTTCATATGCAAGCAGCATACCTGTGCACCTTGACGGACGCGAATATCAGTCCCTTTGCTGTCTATTGATACAAGGGCAGCATCGTCTACATCAGTTTCCTTGGACAAAAGCTCTTTCAAGGGCTTCGAAAAAATTGCATTCAGTTCCTATCGTGGAAAAAAGGATACAATAAAATTAAATTAAACATGAACACAAATAGCATGTTCAGTGTGCAATATATGACATGGACAACACGATGGAGAAAATTTTAGCTTCTTTTTCTTCTCCAATACGGTCCAATCTTATGCAATCCTCCTCGCCAAACATGCTATAACGGTATATTTAATACTCTAGTCTACCTTACCAAACAAACAAGTGTATCAGTATTAGACAGTGCAATAAACCATATTTTGTTCGCCCCCATTGACTGTGATCTTATCAGGTTGAATTGCTTCGAATTCTTTAACATCAACCCAAGCAACAGTTCCAAAGCCTCCAATGAAATATATATCGCTGCCAATAAGATATGACCTTATAAGTTCATGACATGTGTGTTGGGAATCTACTTATACATGCACAGCGGAATTTAAAATATATTTCGATTCCCATCCAATAGATCTCATTGTGTTTGGTTAGGAATTGTGATAAGATTGTACCTTTTCCAGATCTGCAATCCTTTTGCTTTTCTTTTCGTTCCACAACTTTGATTCGCCACCACAGCTGTGCAATTGTCCAGCCTCCAATGGTAATCCACACAGAGAAAATGATTGCAGCCTCTAGGGTTTTCTCTTGTGCTAGCAAGAATAATGAAAACCTTCATGGACCTCAAACCCTAGCTATGTATTTATATAAACCCAAACAGGCTCGGCCCGGTCCGGTCCAATAATTAATTAATCCAATTAATTAAATCCGGTCCGTGAATTAATTAATCCAATTAATTAATTCGAAAATATAAATAA